CCTATACATTATTGTAATATTTGGTTCTTATGTCCTCTGCCCACAGTGATGTTGTTCAACATAATGAATGAAACTCTTCTCCCAGGTCCGGCATACGTGTCGAGGTAAATCAATATTTGAAAATTTCATTCAAAAATTTGAAAAGAGCAGGAGAATATTTGGGACTAAATGTATTTGGTGTCTCCGCATTCAACTGAAAGTCAAACATTTGAAAAAAGTCATTGATGATAATAATTTGTCCGAAATACGCACATGTCCTTTCCTCTCTCAAGGGATTTAGAAATTAGGAGACTAAAAAATAGTTGATGATTTTATAGATTGAAGCCAGAAAAGTAACATTAAGAGATGAAAACTCAATTATTTTTCAAATTTGTGCCGCCTCATTATCAAAAAATCTAGATTTGACTCAAGTTAATGAGTGGAAGAGTTGAATCCGGAGACACCGAATACATTCAGTCCTACTTATTTTATCCTGCTCTCTCCAACTTTGTGAATGGAATTCTGAAATATTAAAAAACAATGTCGAGCAATATTCTAGTGTATTCTAGTTTATGGTCTCGAAATCAGGCAGTCCACCGATCTCAGATAGTAGATAAACTACATGAGCTTCTCCAATTAGAATTGGCCGAAAATGATGATATGAAGTGGGTGACATTTATCAGCTATACAGGGTGTCTGTGAAAGGTCTTTACAAAAACATACCACATATTCCTTAGACCAAAATGAGTCGATTTGAGTCAAATTACCTCAGAACAAAGTTGCATTGTTTGGGCTCTAGAGGGCATTGAAGTTACAATTTTTAAATCGTTTTTCCCATATAAATTCAAAACGGCATATGCAATTTTGCTGAAATTTGGTATATTGATAGAGTTTCATGTGGCGAAAAAATGGTGTTAAATTTTTGTCCAATATTGACCCATAGGCGTAGAACTTGATTTTTTTTAATAATTGCACCTTCAACAATTCTACGCCAATGGAATAAAAGGACTTTGAGTATGAAATTTATATTGCGCAACTCATTTACTTTGAAAAAGGTACTCTTGATCAGACTCGATTACTCTCATAGTTTTCGCGAAATTTCTGTTTTAATAATTTAGAGTGCATAGGTTTCACGAAAATATTGTTTTCGAACATAATCAAAATTAATAGAGATTTTACAAAAATTGTTCAAAATGTTCACCATTTTCACGCATACAAAGATTTATACGTCGAAGAAAATTAATAATAATACATAGGCGTAGAACTTGATTTTTTAAATAATTGCACCTTTAAAAATTCTACGCCAATGGCAGAAAAGGGGTTTGAGTATGAAATTTGGATTGGGTACTCATTTACTACAAAAAAGTACCCTTGATTTACTCGATTTACTCTCATGGTTTTGACAAAGTTTGTATTTCAATAATTATTGTTAATGTTCTAAAATTACTAAAATGCAAATTTCGTCGAAACCATGAGAGCAATCGAGTCTTATCAGGAGTACCTTTTTTTAAGTAAATGAGTTGGGCAATCTAAATTTCATACTAAAACTCCTTTTTTTCCATTGGCGTATAATTTTTAAAGGTGTAATTATTTAAAAAATCAAGTTCTACGCCTATGTATTATTATCGGACAAAATGTTGACACCATTTTTATCGCCACATAAAACTCTATCAGTATACCGAATTTCAGCAGAATCGCATATGCCGTTTTGAATTTATATGGGAAAAACAATTTGAAAATTGTAACTTCAAGGCCCTCTGGAGCCCAAACGATGCAACTTTATGGAAAGGTAATTTTACTTGAATCGACTTATTTTGGTCTAAGGAATATGTGGTATGTTTTTGTGAAGACCTTTTACAGACACCCTGTATAATGAGTGAGAAACTTATACCTCCAATAACAATTAAATTTACTCGAAACCTCATGAAAGAACTCGTCGTCCCCAATACTGATGAAATCAAAGGAAAATGGATTTACATTGCATAAGATTTTTGCAAGGAGGACAGAGTGATAAAAAAATATAACTGAAACATCGCAATGACGCAAGAGCAAAGAAACTGAATGCACAATAGAAAATAGAAGAACCTTGCAGATAAATGGTGACATTTAGGTATGCAGGCAGCCAATTGAAAGAATTTGATGGAAATGGAGAAGTAAGCAGTACTAAAACTAGGATATCGATATCGAACAGTGCACCTGAAACTCCCAATAAGTCAACTCCAGGAGGCCAGGATATTAGTTTCATTGGATATAGTTCAGGTCACCGGACAGTCTTTTTTTACTAAATCAATCCCGATGCCCAAAGGAGAAGAGAATGTTGAAAAACTCAACTCAACAGCTAATCAGGGACAGGAGAAAGAAAAGAAGAACTTATCAGAACGGATTCAGCCTATGACGACAAGAGTGGAGAAGCAGCCAGATATACCCACAGAGTGCATCAGAAGTCATTACTATTCATAGATATCATTATTTTCTATATACGAATGGATAGCTTTCCACAGGTTGTCAAATTGTTTTCTTATATTGATTAATGCATTGTTTGCTAAATATGGAGAAAAAAATCTCGATTATCTGGTCTGCTCAAACAAGGGAAATCACCTACAGGGTTCTGTGGCCGATACAGTAGTAGGGGAAAGTTACCTATGATGGCATGTTTCCTATGATGGCATACTATCGATATTTCTAACGCATTTGAATTTGGCGCTCAAATGACCCGTTTGTCAGATGGTCGTTACTGATCTATCGATGTCTACGAACACTCATACGCGTCGGATAGTTCAACAAATATTTGTGGATATAAAACAATTTCGGTAAGTCTCGAAGTTATTTTCAAGCAGTAATGAATTCGATGTCATGTTCCTAATAGACTTTATTCGAGAACACCCATTCAGTGCATGCTTTTGATGAATGTTCTTAATTTGGTACTGTGTTTATTTCGAGGTTAATTTGTAACCAAACAATTATTTCGATTTTTTTAAGTTGAAGTGTGGACTTTTCCTATGACGGCATACGATAGTCGTTCCTTTGATGGCATGGTATGTATGGTATCCAAATCAAGAGAATTGTGGATTTCATGCCAGATGTGCAAATCCTGGTGCCATATCGAATGTGCCGGAGTCGAAAAACGAAGAAAGCAATTCGTCTGCGAACTCTGCCTATGAAATATTTGTCATCTGATGGCTGTTTCGAAAATGCTACTTTCTGATTTATTCCTAAGTTTATGTTTTTGTAAGAACTGTCCCATTATTTTGAATACATCAATCTTTCCATAATAAAGCACTTATTTCAATTCAAGAATAGGTTAACCTCAGAATACCTCATGGATTGAAGGTATGCCATCATAGGAGGATACCTGCCTATGATGGCACATTGACGTCATTTTCCTTTAAATTTTTTTCTCAAGAAATTTCAAAATGTATGAAGAATGCTATGAGTTCTGATCAATTATGAAGTCATTGTGTATTCAAATTACACACAGATCATCTCCCAAACTTATTAATAACGTGTCAATGTTGATGTAAAGTTAAGTATGCCATCATAGGTAACTTTCCCCTACCGCCATACGGTCAACTCAAGGAAACACTTATTCCAATTGTTTTCTTGTCAAACCTACATAACCTTGAAAATCGTAAATGAGTTGTGGAATCTTCAGCGGTGCTCTCGGCAGTCTCGACCGGCGGCGTAGTTTGTTCAGCGAGTTTGAGTTCAGTTACGACATAGTCACGGGTCACGGTCACGCAGTCACTCAAAAATTCAAAAATGGTTCATGTAACTCCCTTACCAACAGAGGCTCGAAATATGGAATTCTGTGCGTATTGATCATGATAATGATGGCGTGAAGCGTGGGAACGTGAATAGGGAAAATGCTCGGAAAACATTGGCTCGAGCAGTGATTCCGATTTTATGGTTGTGCATTTTATTTGGTGTGCCCACTCAGCTCTGAATAAAAATTGTGGGAATTAAGTTTTTCATCAGTAATGAGCAAATATATGGCTATAATCGAAGGAATGGAATCATGATTATCTTACTTGTAATGAGCTGGTAATACTCAATATCGAATGTATCCACTTATGTTGCGAATAAATATCACTTGGAAATCCTTGAATGGGGACTGTTTCACACTTTCTGGTAGGCACAATTGAGAGACAGAGTTTGTAACAAATTATCAATCAGAATAAACCACTATAATACTGGGAGCACAACACAAAAATATATAAACGAAAGGAATATTAGAACAATAATGTGAATTGAGGAAGAAAGATTTTTTTAGGCAAAAATACGTCAAGTCACGATGACACGACAGCTCTTGACACTGACAACTTACATAAGCACAAATATCGAAAATTTTCTAGAAAAAAGTGAAAATCATTTCGTCCGATACGGTAACATCCTCTGGTGGTCATACACTCAACTGAGCTATCGGGAAGACCAGTAGTTACAGCTCACTAGATTTTTTCTCCATATTCAGCAGAAAATGGATTAATGCATCATTGAATTCCTCCCTGTATACAGAGTGTCCCAAAATTAGCCTGCCAAACTCTACCTGCGGCTTCTACGACCCAGAATAGGAAGAAAAACTTCAATGAACATGAGTCGAGAAATATCTCCTAAGGGAGCTACAACTCCCTGAAAAGATACTCCTGAAGATGATATTTCTTGAATATTTCCGAAATACCATGTGATGAAACTTTCCATGCACAATGCATTGAGGATGAAATTATTTCGAAATTCTATTCAGAAGTGTATAATACAGGGTGGGACTAGATTCAATATTACCATTACTCTTATATATGTATAGTTTTCGACAACTTAATCTTGGATCATGAAAATACAGATCTTTTCACGAGAAGAAGCGGCTCCTGTTTGTATGTTGAATGTGTACCTACTTGCCATTTCAGAAATTGGTCGATGAACATCCCTAAGTATTTTATTGATGATACATTATGAAACAAGTTTGTAGTTCCGTTGAATTCGATTGGGTGTAGGACATTTCAGTTCAGGATCTCAGTTTTTAGTATTTCTCAGGGCTATAAGGAAGAACAAGGTCATAATCCAATCTTTGGTTGTATAACCAATGAACCATTCAATGTTCTTCAGACCAGTTACCAGGGATGATGTAAGAATAATAATAAATGAACTGAACAAACAAAAAAACAGAAGACATAAAAGGAGTGAATACTTTCGTTATCAAAAGTTGTAAAACACACATAATGGATCCTCTGGCGGATATAATCAATTCATGTTTTATCGAAGGACATTTTCCACATAAGCTGAAAATTGGCAAAGTCCTCCCTATTCACAAAAAGGGTAATTATTCTGAAGCTGTTAACTTCAGACAAGTGTCTATTTTACCATCTCTCGCAAAAATTTTCGAATATGCTATATACTCACAACTAATGGATTTTATGGAATTAAATAATATCCTGAGTCCACATCAATTTGGCTTCAGAAGAGGTAAATCAACCTCAGATGCAATAAATTCGCTCATCAGCTATATGAAAGATGCGTTCGAAAATAGAGAAAAATATATCGGCGTTTTCACAGATCTTACTTCAGCGTTTGATTGTGTTAATCATCAAATCCTCCTCGATAAATTACATTTCTATGGTGTCAGAGGTGTTTGCTGAAGAATTATAAAATCATTTCTAGAAAAAAGACTCCAGGTTGTAGAATTTGGTCAGTCTCGTAGTGATGAAAAAGAATTGATAAGAGGTGTCCCTCAGGGCTCCATACTAGGACCGCTCCTCTTTATTATTTACATCAATGATCTACCACACTTCGTAAACTCATGTACCTAATATGAAAACTACAAAGTATGCAGATGATGTCACTTTGAGTATAGCTTTAGACGATTTGGTAACTCCTCAGCAAATTTTGAATATAGTAGTAGAGAAAGCAAGAAATTGGTATACTGCCAATGAGCTGATACTGAATGAACAAAAAACTAAAACATTAACTTTCGAAACGGGAAACATGGATTGAATAGAACAAGCAGCTGTTAAATTCTTGGTTGTGCAAATTGAGGTCAAATTTAACTTGGAAAGACCACATAAATAACCTTTATAGCAGACTGAGCAGGTCAACATATGAAATCAGACTGAATAAAAAATCTATGAACCTTAAATGCAGCTCTTATGACTTATCACTCAATATTCCATTCAGTTCTTAGGTATGGAATAATATCCTGGGGTTGTGCATTGAAAATTCATTTAGAAAGAGTATTTGTGCTACAAAAATTTGCCATGAGAAGTATAGCATATGCTAAACTTGAAGAAACGTGCAGACCACTATTCAAAAATCTCAAAGTAATGACATTATATTCAGTTATTGTCTACGAAAATCTATTCAATATTCGATTGAATTTGATAAAATATTCCACTCACACAGATGTGCACGAATATAACACAAGAAACAAAAAACCTTGTACTGAAAGCAAATAGACTGAGAAAAACAGATAATATAGGCATCAAACTATATAATACACTGCCAACTGATTTCCGAGAATTGCCAATAAAAAAATCCAAGGAGGTCATGAAGCATATTTTGATTGAAAACCCACTGTATGACATTCATGAATTTTCCGAAATAGTTGTGAGAAATAGGGATGCTTTTGGAGTATCGTGAATTACTTTTTCTATACATATTTTCTGGATTCTAATGATTGTCAAACTTGTGTCAAACTTGAACATTGAATTCATTATTTTCTCAAATAAGGTATTGCATTTGAGTAATGCCGAAGAATTTTTGCATGTATCTGTATTTGTATTTTATATTTTGAATTGATGTACTTTATTGTCGTAATTTTAAGAACTTTGCTCTTGAAGGTAACTGCTCTCAAAATTCGTGACGTGTCTATAAATTCTGTGTTTCTAAGATCAATAAAATTATTATTATTATTATATTATTTGTTGCAGTATGAAATTGAATATGGTCTTTTTCAATAAGTATTTCTAGATGTATAACAATCACGCATTGTGATATGATTTGCCTAATAGTGTCTAGACACTTATTGAATAAAATTTATCATTATTAATATTAATTCGAACAAAAATTGAATATTCATTAATGAAACTCACCTGGCTGACAATCGTGGCGACAGTCTGTTCGGTGTACTCGTGTTTGTTCGACAGGTACGTCAGAATGTCAGCGCCCTGTAGCTTTTCCAGAACGAAGACAGCCGTGTCGTTAACGCGGTAAGCGGACAAAAGACTGGCGATTCTTTCGTGCCTCAGCGACCTCAGAGCAGCGAATTCGCCGTCGACGTCTTCTTTCCTGCTCTCGTTGTATTCCAGGATTTTCGCCACCACTACGCTATCGTTCTTCTTGTCCACAGCCTTCAATACCAACGAGAATCTTCCCCTGGAAAATGCATCGCAAATTGTAGTTTTTTCGACATTATCACACACGACTTATAGATAGGGGGCAATTCTGTAACGCTTAACGACATCGTTAACGAACGATAATCGTTACGGAACGATATTTGTTATTCTGTAGCTAACGATTGTCGTACCTGTACGACAAAACTTATCGTTTGTAGACGACGTCGGATGAGGTGTCTTTGGAGGCATCTTTTTGTCGTTACGTGGAGGAGACATGAAAAATAATATAGAAAGTGGCAGAGAGTGGTGAATGTGGAAAGATGATTTGATTGCTGATTATTGAAAAATGAATAACCGGGCATTAGTATAGCCCTTCCGCTCCGTACCCTCACTATTGTACACGGGCATTATACAGGGTCGCTGATATGTATGGAAACGGTCGATTATTTCCTAAAGTAAGATAGCCAGCGAAAAATGTTAGGATACAAAAGTTGTAGGGTTTTTCAAAATCCATTAAGCTAATGAAAAATTAAGTATACAGGATGAGTCAAAAAGTCAGGACGATTCAAAGTTGCTTTTTCTCTAATGGGACACCCTGTATATTATTCCACATTTGCTCGAAATTTTGAACAAAATTGATAAGGCACATCATTTCCTAAATTCAACTGTTTTCAAGATATCGAATTTCGAAAATAACTTATAATAAATTATCCAAAAATGTTAGTCCATTAAGTTCATAGTCCATCAAGTTACCTTTGAAAGTTTCCAGCTCCATAACAACGCCGCGTCGTTCTTTTGTCTAACAGTGATGATCTTGACAACACATGTCAAAAATACATTTAGTGTAAATAAGTTTCGCGCAAAAATGGCACGTTTAACTAATACTGAGCGTATTGAAATTTTAATGATCATAGGATTCGGTGATAGAAGACGAAGTTGTGAGTAGTGAATATTTTTGATGAATTGCATCCAAATCGGGAACCAATTTCTAAATCAACCGTTTCAAAAACATTGCAGCGTTTTCATGAAACTGGAGATGTCAAAGATCGACCAAAAAGTGGAAGACCAGTAAGCGTTACAAATGAAGAAAATGCTTTGAATGCAATAAATTCGGCACAACAGAGGGCTTTGAATCATAACATGAGTCGATATTCCATTCAAAAAATTTGCAAACTGCAAAAATTCCATCCATATAAAATTCATTTGGTACAAGAATTGAGTGAAGACGATTTTGATCGTAGAATCGAGTTCTGTGAAGTTATTATGGATAAATTAAGCGAAAATGTCAACTTTGTCAACCACATATTGTTTTCTGACGAATCTACATTTTGTTTAAACGGGCACGTAAATCGACACAACTGTAGGTATTGGTAAGACCAAAATCCACATTGGATGGAGGAAGTTCACACTCAACGGCCACAAAAAGTAAATGTCTGGTGTGGCATTATTGGTGGACACGTCATAGGACCCTATTTTATAAACGGAAATTTGAACTCTGAACGATATTTATCACTTTTACAACAGCATATCATTCCAGAGCATAGACGATTATTCCCGAATAATAACAATCCCAATTTTCCGGCAGAACAAATATGGTTTCAACAAGATGGGGCTCCTCCACATTTTGGACGTATGGTACGGGCATATCTAGATGAAACTTTTCCTAATAAATGGATTGGACGCAGGGGAGCAATTGAATGGCCAGCTAGGTCTCCCGATATGACCCCACTTGACTTTTTTCTATGGGGTCACATAAAAAATGTAGTCTACAAAAATAGGCCGCCAAATATCGAAGAGTTGCAAGAAAGAATAAGGCATGAAATTTCTACCATTCCTCCTCACATGATTTTAGATTCACTACAAAATTTTGTTCAGCGAGTTCATTACTGTCAGGAGGTGAATGGTAAACACTTTGAGCACCTTATTAAATAGAATTTCAAAGAAAAATTTGTTGTTTATTAAAACTTGTTTTCTCTCTTTTCCTCCTGTCTCAACTATTGTTTTCATAAAATTTTGAATATCCTGGACATTCATTAAAAAATACATTTTATTGTTTTAATTGCATTTTAATCAACCCTGAACAATTATGCTTTTTTTATTTTCTGTAACCATAATAAATATGCATCATTTCGTGCTTTTTCTTTAATAAATTTGAGAGTGGTAAAAAGTTATTTTCAAAATTCGATATCTCGAAATCGGTTGAATTTAGGAAATGATGCGCTCCATCAATTTTGTTTAGATTTTTGGGCAGAATTGAAATGTGGAATAATATACAGGGTGTCCCATTAGAGAAAAAGCAACTTTGTTTCGTCCTGACTTTTTGACTCATCCTGTATACTCAATTTTTCATAAGCTTAATGGATTTTGAAAAACCCTACAACTTTTGTATCCTAACATTTATCGCTAGCTATCTTACTTTAGAAAATAATCGACCGTTTCCATATATATCAGCGACCCTGTATAAGTGATTTATAAGGGATAAAATATCATTCTGCTGGATCGAGAACCAGCCACTATGCTTGTGAGTGTTTTATTTGCACGGAACAAACCGCATTTGCTGCTTATTTTATTTTCAGGTAGGGTAAAAATATCTTTGTGTGGTGTAATTGGTCTCGACTGAAAGATGTTTCCTGAAGGTGAGTGAATCAAAAACATCAACTTTATATGATATTGTGAATGATTTTTTGCATTGAATGGCAAATGGAAACATGATTCAACATGGTGGTTCACAGTGGCTGTTTCCAAAATTTTTTTCGGGATCAGATTTCAGGACATACTTGTGTACCATCACATTTGTGTGCTCCGGAAGCGTACCGCAACGGATCAATGACCATTATCGATTTTGATTTAAGGCGGCTGCACAATTGCCCGGGAACGAGAACGTGAACGAGAACGAGAACGGAAACCAGAACTGAAATATTTTATCAGATGCACAAACAACGAGAACGAGAACGGAAATAGTAGGGATATTTGACATTCTTCCATTTATTTTTTAAAATTTCAAAACACTGTCAGCGTGTCAGCTTGACTTTAGAAATAATTTTCAATATAATGGATGTTATTAGTGATGAGATGTTGGAGTTATATATGTATTTTCTTCTAATTCTGTACAGTTATTACAAGTCAGTTACTTTACAATCAGATAGAAGGTATGTATGAACAAATATTCAATTATATTAATCATTGATTTTATATTTTTTAGATGGTGGGTTAGACCTATATTTAGAGAGAGGAAAGAAAAAGGGGCCTTTGTTAATTTATTTACCTATATGAAGAGCAATGACCATGAGATGTTTTATAAATATACCAGAATGCTACCTGAACAGAATTTTAGTTCTGGTTAGAATAGTTTGTGAACTAGGTTATCTTCTTCTTCTTATGGCATCCAATATCTGTGCTGCGATTGGTTCCGGGAATGCAACGGGAACGGGAAAGTTGAAACTTGGCCAACTTTCTAGTTCTCGTTCCCGAGCATCTTCTCGTTCTCGTTCCCGGAAATCGGTTGTGCATGGGTACATTAAAATATGTGTAGCTTAATTTTTTTCCCGTTCTCGTTCTCGTTCCCGGGCAATTGTGCAGCCGCCTTTAAACATTCCAGTGTGTCAAAACTGTTCTCCATTCCAAGAATTTAGAATTGCAAAGAGATCAAGATGGAATTTACGATTTGTTGGATCAGATAGGCTTCCATCTTATGGCTTGCCTCCCCAGCTATGTTCCCTGCTAGATAGTTTCCTCTCAAACAGGTCTCTCCATGTAGTGGTCGAAGAAGTTCCATCCTACTCTCTTTATCATAAAGGCTGGTGTTCCGCAAGGATCATTTCTAGCACCAACACTATTTCTACTCCATATCAACGATTTGTTGGAAGCAACTTCATGTCCAGTACACGGCTTCACGGATGATAGTACCCTCCATACCGCCTTCTCTTTCAGGCTCCAATATCAGCCAGGCAAATCAGAAACAAACAAGAAAGAAATGTTGACAACATAAATATGGACTTGGCAACAATTCTCGAATAAGGATCCAATAACTTGATAGATTTCAATGCGAACAAAACACAAGCATGCCTTTTCTCTTGAAAAGCCGATCTCACTGTGCCCAACATGAGCTTGTCAGGAGTAACCATAACTTTGAAGACATCCATTTCGATGCTTGGTATTACTATCAGCAATAACCTTTCTTGGGAAAATCACGGGAGATCAATTGATAAAAGTGCATCCCAAAAACTTGGTTTTCTGATCCGGGCCAGGAGCTACTTCACTTCCAGTCAACTGCTTATGATCTATAAGGCACAGATCCAACCTGTCATGGAATACTGTTCCCATATTTGGAGTGCAGCACCCAAACATACCCTGAAACTGTTGGATTTTGTCCAAAAAATTGCAATTCGTATCGTAGGTGATGCCTCGCTCACAAACTCAATCACTTCTCCGGAACACCGTGGAAAAGTTGGCGATTTGGCTCTATTTCATAAATATTTTCATGGACGATGCTCTTCTGAAATATCAGCAATTATTCCTTCCTTCGCAATCCCCGCGAGATTAACCCGTCGAGTTGGAGCTTCGTACCCCTTAGTGGAGACTTGCAGAACATCTCTTTCCAAAAACTCATTCATCCAACGAACAGCGAGGCTCTGGAACACATAGCCAAGGGAGGTGTTTTCCGAGGTATATAACCTCCAGAAATACAAAAAGAATACCAATTCCTACTTTATTTCCCTTGGTTTTTACGATGTTCTCTGAACATTACAGGATATCTCTTTTCGTGGGAACCAGAACATAAAAAAAATAATGATGTCTGAAACCTCCATTCCCACCAAGTCTAGTTCACACCTCGATTTCTTCTCATGATCTACGAAGCACAGGTACAGCCTGTTCTAGAATACTGTTCCCACACATGGGGTTTAGCACCCAAACGTGTGCTGATACTCTTAGATTCCATCCAGAGAAGGGCCATCCGCCTGGTGGGTGATGCCACACTCACTCATTCTTTGACATCTTTGAAACACCGTAAAAAAGTCGGTGACCTCTCACTTTTCTATAAAAATACTTCCACGAGATATGTTTTTCACAAACCTCTGCTATCATTCCTTCACTAGTGGTACCCGTTAGACGAACCCGACAAGCGCAGTCAGCACATTCTTTCGTTGTCAATCTGGGAATAGGTCGAACAGCACTTTATCAAAACTCGCTTGTCTATAGAACGGCAAAGCTATGGAATTCATTGCATAAGGGAGCATTCTCAAGAACTTATAATCTACGAAAGTTATAAAAAAAAATGCATTACCTTCCTCCTCTCCCTATGCTCCCTAGGTACGCATGATGTTCTTCGAACATTTTAGGGATTCTCTTTCGTGCGTTTCAAGCGATGAAAAACCTTGGCATTCAAAAGTGTATTTTCTGTACTAACTCTCCATAGCTAACTTACTAACTATAATTTCGTTTATTGATTTAAGAATTCTGAATGTTTGATAATAATAATAATAATAATAATATAAGTTTATTCAAAAACGTTTACAAAATATACATTGGAATAAACATATGTTCATTCAAGGCAATTCTTTGTATTCGAAGATATCAAGCAGAAGGTATTACAGTGGCGTGTCGTAAGTTTTGTAATTGGGGAAACTGGGAGCAAAATATAACCAAAACTGCACCGCAGGCAAAATTTTCAAATTCCTCAAGGTCGAGCCGCTTAATCACTAGAAGCAGAAAATGAAAATTCAAATATATATTCGTCTCTAGACTATGAATCTAGTAGACACATAATTCGTTCCATACTTACGAAATTCATGTTTTTTCTTCAATAGCAAATTTCTCTGAATGGAGTAACAAGGATATGGAATAGTTATTTTATGTCACCAATTTTATTTCCGGATCTGATATCACAATGACTCCATTGTGTTTTTATTTAAAAAAAACTCATCGCCCATGGAATGTCAAATCTCAAGCGATTATACAGCTCTGTCTAATAGATCAGCATTACTTGACAGAAAATCAGATGGCTACAAGACGAAGAAATCGAAATTGCCGCTGATATCTATAATAGCCGTAGAAAAATTATAGTGTTTAACTTGCACGGAATGCTAATTTCCTACCCGAATGATTGCAGAATTTGCCTATGGCTCATGCTGCAAACTTCATTCTCGTAGGAAATCACTATCATTCCGTGCTCGTTGAACAATATACTATTGTGCAACTAGAGCAAAAAGGTGGCAGCTCAGACGATGTCGAGAGCTGCATTCATAAGTGCATATGCTTGCACATGGTGCACACAATATATTTTTTACGATTTAATTGAATTCATTTTTATTTCAAATTTTATTAAGATTAATTCACAATAGAATAAGTATCAGTGATTCTCAATTTTCAGATTGAGCTCGTGATCACGAGACAATTGAAGCAGTTCTTCAACTTTCTTGCACACCGAAGAGTGCAAAAAGTAGTAACTTTCCGCACCATCATGAAAATATGGTATTTGCAAACGTTGACGAGCCATTGCGCCCAACCGGGTATATCTCCGTTCGTTGGTTGTTGACTGAAGCTATCTGCCCACCGCCCACAGCCCACCTCCGTTTGTATCTTGCATTGACTTTAACGGGAATTTCAATCTAACACTGGTGAAAACTTGAAGTAATACCCTATTGGTCATCAGACGGCTATTATCGATAAGTACTATTATGTATTCAAGATACTGGTTACATAAAAATAGATATCCAGCCTGTAATGTTGTATGCTTTTGAACATAAACATCAGCTTCCATCGGTAGAGTGTGATCGGTTCCGCCTATCTTTCGCACTTTGTTCATAGTACTGTACAAGCCCGAAACACGTGTCTACGGTAAACTTTACATGAGGAATTTGTCTATTATTTCCTTCTCCGTTGTTTACAACATTCGCTTCAACATTTCTTTCATCGTGTTTGTGATCCTGGACTCATATGTCATGCAGGTAGCTATATAGCTGCCTCCGTGGTGACGTCAGTTGTTTTCCTGAATACTCGGGGTCTTCTGACCGAAACCCCAATTGGGCAGCTGGCTTCTGTTTGTTGACTTGGTTATTTTGTTGGCGGCAATGAGCGTACATTATATTCCTTCATTCTAAAATGACAATTAGGAGGATCCAAATAATTAAATAATCACTACATTATAAAAATGATCTTAATAGATGATGATCCTGATTTTCGGGCAAAGGAAGCTGTGCTTTCCTAGCTTCCATGGACAACACGCCACTGAGGTATTAGGTACAGGGTGAATACTGTCTGTAGGTTAATCGAGGAGGTGGTACATTCATTTTACTTGGTTCTTTGGGATTTTCTCTCCTCGTTTCTATAAAATAAAAGTATTCGTATTATTTCAATATATTTGTAGAGGGACAAATCAGATGATTTGCCCCAAAATGTCACTGCGTTTAACAAATTTTTCTATCAGGGAGTCTAAAAGAAAAATCCAGTAGCTTGTCAGTGACAATTTGTTTGAAGAAATTTTTGAAGGAAAGAAATATAGATATATTGAAACGTCCAAAGATAAGTGAAAATTCGATATTTTTTCAATATATCTATATTTCTTTCCTTCAAACATTTCTTCAAACAAATTGTCACTGACAAGCTACTGGATTTTTCTTTTAGACTCCCTGATAGAAAAATTTGTTAAACGCAGTGACATTTTGGGGCAAATCATCTGATTTGTCCCTCTACAAATATATTGAAATAATACGAATACTTTTATTTTATAGAAACGAGGAGAGAAAATCCCAAAGAACCAAGTAAAATGAAGGTACAGGGTGATTCACCATAAATGTTCCCCCTCTAGCTCGGTTATTTTTAAACCGATTTCAAAATTTGATTAATCATCTTGAATGATTTTCGATAAAGTTTTTTTCCGCTACATCAGAAAATACAGGGTGCTCGGAACAAACGGTCTACAGGGTACAATTTGATTTTTTTATATGGAACACCCTATTTTTCATTGTATTTTTAGATTCTCCCTGAAGAGCTGATTTGATCGATGTATCACACTTGGGGTTTAGCGGGAATGATTACAGAGATATAGGGTGTTCAAAATCGAGATTGTTCAACTTTAGGATTTTTTTGAGACGAAACTATTCATCATCGGTCAAAACGGCTCTCATGTCCATATCTTAACTCTTGATTTACTATCTTCTGACATTTAATAATTGGAACAGATACAGGGTGATCAGAATTCTGAATCTTGAACAACCCTGTAAATGTTCCAATTAAATGTCAGTAGACAGTTAACCAAAAGTTAAGATGGAAACATAGAAGCCGTTTCGACCAATTATGAATAGTTTCGAGAAAAAGAATCCTTAACTTAAAAAATCTCGATTTTCAACACCCTATATCTCTCTAATCATTCCCGCTAGACACCAAGTGTGATGCATTGATAAAATCAGCTCTTCAGGAACAATCTGAAAATTCATTGATATACAGGGTGTTCCATTTGAAAAAATCAAGTAGTACTCTGTAGATCATTTGTTCCGAGCACCCTGTATTTTCTGATGCAACGGCAAAAAAATGCTGAAAAATCATTTTAGATCATTTTTCAAATTTTTAAATCGGTTCAAAAATAAGTGAGCTAGAGGGGGGGACATTTATGGTGAATCACCCTGTACCTACCAGTGAACAAACAATGATTCTCACATTCATTCATCGATACCAACCTTGATATTTCTGAAATGAAATTGAAGTTTTCTTGAACATCAGCTTCTTCCCATTCGATCGGCTTTGATTCTATACTGTAGTCATACTGGATGTTGGTTTCTTCTTCGGCCAGTCTGCCGCTATCGGTGATCTGCTGAAGGTGCCTCATCGCCTTGCTTAGTTGTATTTTCGGAGTACCTGGAAGGACAAGCATTTCAAAAACTTGAAAAGAAGTTGATTCAGTTATCCCTACGTGATATATGGCAACCAATTGATTTTTATGTTGAATAATTTGGAATTTGTGAAAACAAGGCAATTTCACGGATATATTCAGTAGTAGTAATATAAGTACTACAAAATATTCGGGTTATACATTGATACCTCGTTGCATAATTACAAATAGTGTCAGTTTGACAGTTGAAATAGTCCGACCGCGAAGCGGAAGGATTGTTCTGTTGAATTGACACGACTTGTATTTGTGCAGGAAGTTTGAGATGTATAACCTTGAAGATTTCGAAGTTCGAATCGTATTCGATGCGATTATTTTTTGAGTATAGTTGTGAACGAACGTCAAAATTTGACGACACGCTTTGTTTGTATGTGACAATTTGAATTGGTTACTATGGAAATGGATATAATTCTAAATTTCTGATTGATGGAGTTTCTCTATGTATATCCACGTATATTCGAAATTATATAAGGTAGGTACCTGTAGAGTCACTAGATGGTTATTAGTTAGGTAAGAGTTGGGACAGAGAAATGACAACTGTTAGTATTTTTGAATGTTTAGATTTATTAAGTTATATTCCTTACATTGTGACAAGAGCACCATACTCGTCCCGCTATTTTTCGTTCAAAATTGTCTGAATTTGACAATACATTCCATGAACATCAGAATTGAAATATAATCTCATGAACTATTGAGAAGAAAGCATAAAAGTATATTAAACACCAGTCTGAATTATGATTTCTGACAGTTATGTCATCCGCTGTTGACGGCGATTACGCGATCATGACATACCTATACTGGCGGAATAAACGAAAACTGTGCGATGTGCTTACTGTGCGTAAAGGGCTACTTACTGAGGCTGTATCTCGTGTGTTCTTGCCTACTTTCTATAGTGGCCGTAGATACATGAAAATGACCTGTTGTGTAATGAATTGTGAGAATTCTGAAGATAATGGATTTCATTTATTTAATTTTCCGAAGGATATATCAGCCATATCATATAGAAGGAATGTATGAAACGGCCTGCATGGAAAATTGATTCCAAGACAAGCAGAATTTGTGAGGTAGGTATACATACATTGTAATTCAGACTACGTTATTTGTAAATAGGATAAGTTACTTGGAATTCAGAAGAAAACTATCGAGATTCAGATGAGTCAAGTGAAATTCAGAAAACTCCGATTGTAATTCAGATTAGTCGACTGAAATTCAGAAAGCATCCATAGAAATTCAGATATCATCAATTGTGATTGAGAATGCAAAAATATACTATGTATATGCTTACTCTGCTATTAGCTACAGGGTCATAGTCTGGGGTCAGGGACGTGATGTGCAGAGAGTTTTCGTTTTGCAAAAACGAATCCGAAGATTGATTTTCAATCTACCCTACAGAACTTCTTGTCGTGAAATTTCCAAACAATATTGAATCTTAACAATCCCATCAATTTATTTACGAGAATTGTTGAGTTATATATATATAAATGAATATAAACTAACAAAGACGGATAGCGAATCATACGGTATATTCAATAGAAGGCTGAAAAAGATTCTTCATGGAGAGTGTTTTACAATTTGAGAGAGTTCGAGAGTTACCTTAATAATACTTATATAAGAAATGCATAATCTTCTATAGCAAGTTCTGGATGTTATTAATTTTACTCCCTATTATTATGTGAGTATTATTGTTAATGTAATTTGCTTGTAGATGTCTAGGTATTTTATGTATCTGTATTCTTTAACTTGACAATCATTATCATGCATTCTCATGTTGACTATTCGTCCTGTATATGTTATGTACATTTTATGTATATTATATCTCTCTGACAACATACAGAGTGGGTCACGGTGGATGGCCTATTAGAAGTATCTGGAGAACGAAAAGACAGAACATTCTGAATATTGGGATGCTTTGGTAATTGAACATTCTCTATTCGTCTAAAATGTTTTCACCAATACAGTGTTGCCACTTCTATCAGAAACAACTAGCAACTTCGTTATTTCAAATGGAACACCCTGTATTTTATTGCATTTTAAGATTCTTCCTGATGAGCTGATTTTATCGATGTATCATACTTGGGGTCAAGCAGAGATGATTACAGAGATACAGGGTATTCAAAATCTAGATTTTTCAATTTTAAGATTTTTTTCGTGTCGAAACTATTCATTATTGATCAAAACGGCGTACATGTCCCTATTTCAACTTTCGATTGACTATCTACTGGAATTCAATTGGAAAAAATACAGGGTGTTTCAAGATTCAGAATTCTGATTGAACGTACTCCTAACGTTTTCTTTTATTTTCAGGACTGTTCATTGTGATTGGCTCAATGTGAGTTCGTTTCACTGGAAATAATCTACCTTCCAGATAATTTTCGATAGTAGACAACGCCACAACTACTTGGAAATGTTCTCTAAATTTTTCTTTCACTTTTTTTAATGTTGACCAGCAGTCTTCTTCAATCCATGAAATTACTATATCTATTTGATCTTCAGCTAGTATCTTAGGTTTTATGCCTCCTCTGGGGAACATATCGCTACATCCTGAACGAAGTCAATGAAAAGCGGTCTCATATTTGACTCCTAATGATGGTGATAATGCTACCTAGTCATATCCCTTATCTGCGCCTTCCACAATCCTTTCACGATCTTGATGATTATGTTTTTTATACCTGATGAAAAAGACTGTGAATCATTTGTTTCGATGGAATATATGAATCAATACCTATTTCTCTCAACGTCCAAACTTTCAGTCAAGATTGCTCTGCATAGTGGGCAAGTAACATCTGGCACATTCTGTAGTGGTTGAGCACACCACGTTTCTGGTGAACCAGACAACGGATCATTTTGAAAATTTAATGGAGGAAATATTCGGACATTCTCTAGCCAACTAAAATATTTTCGACAATGCGGTGTTGTCGCTTCTATTAGAAAGCAGTAGCAACTTCGATTTTTCAAATGGAACAGTATGTATTTTATTGCATTTTTAGATTCTCCCTGAAGAGCTGATTTCATCGATGTATCACACTTGTGGTCTAGCGGAAATGATTACAGAGATATAGGGTGTGAAAAATCGACATTTTTCAACTTTAGGATTTTTTTGTGTCGAAACTATTCATCATTGGTCAAAACGGCTTACATGTCCCTATCTCAACTTTTCATTAACTATCTACTGATATTTAATTGGGACATATACCGGGTGATCAAGATTCTGAATTCTGCACCACCCTGTATTTGTTTCAATTAAATGTTAGTAGTTAGTTGATCAAAAGTTGAGATAGGGACATGTGAGCCGTTTTGACCAATAATGAATAGTTTCGACAGAAAAAAATTCCTAAAGTTGAAAAATGTCGATTTTTCACACCCTATATCTCTGTAATCATTTCCGCTAGACCCCAAGTGTGATACATCGATGAAATCAGCTCTTCAGGGAGGATCTAAAAATGCAATAAAATACAAAGTGTTCTATTTGAAAAATTAAAGTTGCTACTGCTTTCTAATAGAAGCGGCAACACCGCATTGTCGAAAATATTTTAGTTGGCTAGAGAATGTCCGAATATTTCCTCCATTAAATTTTCAAAATGATCCGTTGTCTGGTTCACCAGAAACGTCTAATGTGCCATCCACCGTGAACCAGCCTGTATAAGACCATTTCGAATAATTTACTAAAGTTACATAGTATAACGATTGGTTTATAGTTTTCAATCAAATATTTGTCACCTTTTTTGAAGAAAGGACATACTTCACCATCTTTACAAACATCGGGAAAGCATATTGTTGTCAGTGCTAAATTAAAAATTACTGATAAGGTCTCAGCAATAATGATAGCGCTGTCTTTCAGGAGGGAAGATGAAATACCATCAGGCCCTGTGGTCATTTTTGGTTTGCATTCCTTCAGCGACTCCAATACGTCTTCCTCAGATATTGAAGGTGAAGGCAGAGTTGGTGTGTGTGAGTATTTGAAATCATGAGATTGCTGATAGACGGAAGATGTGATGTCAACAGACTCAAAAAAGGCGGCAAAGGCATCAACTATTTGTTGCGGATCAGTAAGGCAGCTTTCTTTGTAATTCAAAGAACTGGCAACGGATCAATTGTTACGAATATTGTTTAAGTACGCCCAGAACTTAGATGGGTTATCTGCAAGTTCGTTTTTCGAATGTAATATTGGAATGCGCAATGGCAATGTCTCTCTTTACATGCATCTCTGCGAATAGTGCTGAATCTTTCTACATAGACATTCAATGTCAGCACTTGGTTTATATTTACGAGAAAGAGTGTCCTTTTCCTTCAATTTTCTAATTATATCACAGCACGTGGATCAAGTTGGGTAGTAGATTTTTTTAGGAACCGTTTGATGGAAGCTAATGATGGATTGTAGGTAGGTATTCATGCAGAGGTGACACTGTTCCATATTTCTGAATTACAAATGAAGTTTTCTGGATTACTATTGATATTTTTTTAATTTCAATGGACTAATCTGAATCACAATTGATAGTTTCTGAAATTCAATTGACTATTCTGAATTACAAATGACATGGTCTGAATTATTACAATTGACCCATTCAGAAATACAAATGATACATTCTCAGATACAAATAACGGTTTCTGAATTTCAAATGACGTTTTCTTAATTTCAGTCGCTTAATCTGAATTACATATGACGCATTCTGAATTTCAATTGACAATTCTGAATTATATCTGATATTTTCTGAATTCCAATTAACTGATCTGAATTACAAATGATATTGCCTGAATTACATCTGACGCTTTCTGAATTACTGTTGGAAGAGGTGTGGACAAAAAATGATATTCTATTGTGATGATAGTAGAACAAATATTAATCGTAGGGCACTGATGGTGACATCAATGTGAAATAATTGCGATTCAATATGTAATATGTGCGATATTAATATTAGTACCCTCAAATTAATTTTGAAATGTATTCTCCATAGAACTTTTCATCTGTTATTTACATAATTTTTTTTGTCTCTATTGATATTTTTTCTTTCATCATAGTTTGTCAGTTGCGTATATATTTGACTTTTTTTATTTTCATTTCTCACTACGAAATAGTGATGAATTTGCACAATCATTACTATTGAAATTGTCTGTTATTGTGTGTAAACCTGTTGGACATAAAGAACTATCTATCTAATCTATACCAAGGGAAGAATTTTACCTGATGGCTTGGTCATTATGGGAGCCGAAGGCACCCCGGCGTCGCTCCATCCGATGGAATTTTTCGCCGCCAATCTGAATATGTAACTTTTGTTCGACTCCAAACCGTTGACCAGATAGAATTCGTGGTCGATGTTGTCCGCTTTCTTCACCCATTCCGAGTCGTCTGCCAGTTTATATTCCAACCTGTTGATTTGATTATGAATAAATAAATAAAGTTTGAAATCGAAAAACCTCAACAAAAACACTAGGGGACAACTCTAATAGCACGCAACCTCCTAGGATTGTTCCTTTTTGGTACAATTCATGTTCGAATCTCCAGGACCCAAAATAATTGTCCTTGGGACGTCCCATCCCGTACGTCTCATGCAATGTTCGAGCAAGGACGTCCATGGAGATATTTTCTTTGTCAGAACCTCAATATGTTTGTCCCACACCAATTTTTCATCAGACCAAATACCTAAATACTTTATCTATTCAATTTGTTTCAAGAATTCTTTCTTCATTTGAAGATTGAGCTGAATTTTTTGTTTATTTTTTTGTTGAAAATCGTGTATTCAGTTTTTCTGGTATTTATTGATGAAAGGTTAAAGTGGAGCCATTTTTCAAATAATTTCAGATCGTTATTTATCACAGTTTCAAGAATTAGAGGATTTTGGTTTACATATAAAAGCACTGTATCGTCTGTATATATGGTATATTTACTCGCTAAACCAACTTTCGTGATATTTTGAATATAAAGCAAATACAGTATTGGTCCTATAACATATCCTTGTGGAACACCCTTATGCATCGAAAGTTCATTGTATTGCATATCTGATTTATTCATTATTTTCTTCGGTGACGGGAAAAAAGTTTGGCATTTCATCTCTGTTGGTAGGTTATAAAATGTCACTTTACATGAATTCCTTGGTTCCCGTGAAAAAAAAGGGTACTTTTTTCCCGGATATATTTCACATATATATACACTGTTGATGGCTGTTGTTGTGCTATAGTTCTGGAGAATCAGTCATAAATACCGTCTCCGAGAAAGAACTGCAAGTCCATTTATCATCCATTCGACTTCGCGGTTACGTATATTACCAATCAACTACTAAATTCGCAATTTTTTGAAATCAAATCACAGAATTAGGCTGACAGGAGTGACATCAGATATTTGATTACTTCAAAAGAATGATAAAGATGCCTACAACGCAGGTGTCCCTACTGTTAAAAACTTCAAATTTCACGTCGATAATTTTCAGATTTCAAAATAATGTAATATCTTCCCAATATTGATTCGTCCTTTCTTCTGTCACAAAAAAAATAGTGTATTATACACAGGAAAAATATGAGATTTCAGCTCACGGTTTTTTGGAGCTGAAATCTACTACTTTTTCCCCTTGTATAATAAATGACTATTTTTTTGTTTCCCTCTATAAACATTGTATGGGATCAATAATAGTAGATTGTTTTATTAGGATCAAAAGTGACACTTTGTTTGACAAGCGAATGTTGCATTTGCGAGGCGGAGTGTTTAGCGAAGCCGAGCGAAAGCAAAATTTGCGAGTCAAACAAAGTCACTTCTGATCTGAATGAAACATGCTATTTATCCTGCAACCGAAGCAATCAACACAATAAATATGTGAAGTAATTACCAATGCCGCGCCATATGTATGCAATGCAACAAATCAAAATCAATGCAAAACCCGTGTGGTGAGCATATTCTACCGGCATTAACAGCAGGTTTATTCAATTTTCAAGGATGTTCGAATTGTAGTTTCAACATGAATACAACTACAGAGTGACATATTTGTGTATGGACCAGGTGCTCTAATGGCAAATACCGCGCCAGTGCCAGGTATAGGAACAAGACGTGGAAAATGTTAGGTTAATGAGCATACCAACAATGATGATAGCGATTATTTATTCCTCTCCATACTACACTGTGTTCGACTTGATAATCAAATAGAGGTAAACAATATCGTTGTTTGATCCAAAAAGTATTGCTTGCCGTGATTATTCAAAAACAAGTTATCCATTCCGAGAATAACGAATGAAATACAGATCAAGCAAGTACGAGAATCTTGAAAGCTTCCCTGATCAAAACAAAAATACTGAGATGTTTATAATTCCTATACTTATACTTAACTATAATGAGGTGTATTTATATCTCCAGCATGGGTATGAAATGCCAAATCTGCCGAAATCGGAAACAAATCAGATATGCGTCTCAACCCAAATATCCAACCGTAACAATATTGTTTATTCTTGATGACGTCTAGTACATCCTTTTTAGTTCCTAGGAGCTAAAGTTGAACTCTTGCTCCTAGGAACTGAAGTTCAATTTCAGCTCCTAGGAACTAAATATGTTACCTAGCAACATAATTATTTTTGTGTCAGTAATAGGAACGTCAATTCAAGAGCTGATTTTGGTATCAAAATGGACGAGTTTTGTGTCGGTTGCCGAAAAATGTTATAATTTATTTGTTCGCTCACCTGTAACAGATGACCGGAGCATTGCCATCGAACTTTGGCTGCTTCCACGTCAGCAAGATCTCGTCGTCGGAGATCTGCGACGCCTCGGGACTGTCCGGTTCGTCCGGCACCAGGCCCAGCACGATTCGAGTCCGGGCGATGGTCTGGCCGATCTTGTTCCGAGCGACCACCTTGTACAGTCCTTGGTCGAAGGACAGGGCGGGGGTGAGCCGGAAGTGGGACCTGCCGTCCTCGTCCGTCGTGATTTTTATTCGGTGGGATTCGGCTATGATCGCGTCGTTCCTGGAATGACCGAATTCGGGTTGAGAATGCTGTTTCCGGCATAGACATTCAACGATTCATTTGAACAGCACAAAATATAAAACAAAGAAGTATACATTTGTCGAATGTACATATGAATTGGATCATTAGGAACTCTATAAACCAAATGAAATGCAGGGTATAATTTAAAGTTATAGTCATGTTGTAGCCATCTAGTGGCAATGCTCTGAGGTATTATCCAGAGATCGCGACAAACACTGTATGGTGCTGCCATCTATAGTCACACATACAGACCCCTACGTCTATACGCTACAGAGTGGTACTACAAGTTAATCACTCTGCTGACAGATGACACTACCTGACATACTTGAGTGGAATCTTTCCACCACCTATTCAACTGCTAGAACTCATAACTAAGAGATCCAGGATGAACAGAGTTGCTCTGCTGACAATTGGGGCAACTCTGTTCATCCTGGGTCTCATAGTTATGAGATCCAGCAACCAATTAAAATATAAGATCTTCAATCAATGTATAAATTTGAAATATTAACATTCATTCATTCTGACAAACACAATTATAAACATACCAATTTGAATTTTAAAATGAATGCTAATATACATTCACATTCAACTAGACAAACAGACATGTTTTCCCATTATTCATTAATATCAGATCTGAATTTGGCAAGTTCTATATATTACAATGGATTATTACTTACGATGAATTTCCAACAAGACTTGAAAAAATATCAGTACCAAACAATTCAAGAAAGAACTTAAAAAAATATTTATTCCTCTGAATTTTGTCATGTCATCCATATAGAAATTGAATAACATATCAATTATTTTCACTCAAACAAGAATCAGCTCAAGCTCTGAGAATTACTAGAATAATTATAATCATACCCATACCCAATACATTTCAAATGTAATGATATACATTATGGTGTATTCTTCAATGTTCCCTGTTATAATATAATAATATATTACGGGGCCAGGTAGCCGTGCGGACAGAGTATCGGTATTCTAATTCGCATTCGCTTGCCGGTCGTGGGTTCGATTCCTATCGACTGCAGAAATTTTTCTGATGGGCCAAGAAAGTGTTTGGGATCACACTTTAAAAGGTAAGGCTCCCGTCATTCCTTGCTCGCACAAGACTCTCGAAGACTTCTGAGGGTTGCTCGTAAGGGGGCAACCGAATGACGGATAGCACAATTTTACAATTTTTTTATAAACATATATGTCAATTGTTTCTTGGGATAGAAGATGATGATGATGATGATGATGATAATCAAATACTGAAATTGCCGTGATACAAATTAGATATGGGATCAATTATCACACTCCGACCACGCTAACATTGTGAAATGAGTTCTGAAATAGAATTCGTGAAAATTTTGTGAAGTTTATGAGATTTGTATATCGCTACTTCGAAGTTGAAAACCAACTTTCCAGAAACTCGTGCGGGGTTGGAACAGCAAGACCTACAGTTTATAGTGGATTCCGAATTGTGAGTCTAAAAATGGAAAACCCAAGGTACCTTAATTTTTAGTTTTTGCCTCCTTTCCAGAGCATAAACTCACCATGGTGCGAGGAGGACAAGACGCAGTTGCTTGGCAGATGGATCATTTTGTGGACATCTGTGTTTGAATCACTTGAATCTGACAGACTTGTGGAAATCTCATTCTTATAACAGCAGATTGGAATGAAACTATATTTTAGGTCCATTTTCAAACAGAAGATTTATAAGATCCGTTTGAGAGAATCTGCTGTTCCCTTGATTAACAAAGCGGATTATTGAAAAAAATACACCATATTTCCATTTTCCATAGTAATACAGAAAATAGAAAAAGACAGGAGTGATAGCTGTAACCGAACTCTTATCTAACTAATACCTAATGATTTTCAGCCTTGGTAAATTCATTGCATTACCTCCGTAGAAACGACAACTTCGATAGTATACCAGGGACACCTGTCCTCAGTTTCGCTTGACTGACAGCAGTATGTTTGTGTACAAAACCATTGTAATAGACTGTGAAAACACTTGGCTTAGTAAATTCACATAATCTTTTTGGCCCTGGCTCTCCGTCTATATGGCAACCTAATCCACGTTGTGGAAACCCGTGACGAGGGGGGATAAATGGCTCTGAGATTATATGGAATAGAAATACTTTTATTTCTTAACATGACATACATGTGTTGAAAGTATATGTGAGTGATAAAAATGTTACAAAGATCATAATTGAAATTGCTCATCTTGGAGGTATTCATCAACTGTATAGTGAGCTTTACCAATTAGAAGTTCTTTAATTTTATGTTTAAACGCTCTAATGGTAAGTGATTTGAAGACATTCGGTAGTTTGTTGTACATTGTAGCTGCCATATAGGAACAATGTATGGTGTCGATAATGGAATATCTGAGAACCAGAACGACATCTCAGAGGAAACAGCCTCAGCCCTGTGCAGAAGGCACCACAGGGCTGGACAAACCCTTTTCTCCATTACTCGTAGAAGAAAGAAAACTTTTGACCTTCTTCATAGACGATATCATGGCTCGGAAGAGCAGTTTCAGGAACCTGAACGGAATTGATCCTTCAAACGAACCTCTAGTATTGTAAGTGGCTGCGCACAACGTTACCATGATGGTATTCTGAGTGGCCTCTATAAAGCGTGACTCGAAATTAGCCTGTCAAACTCCACCAGCGGCTTCTACGACCAAAAATAGGAAGAACAAGTCCAATTAACATAGGTCGTTGAACTTCTTCTAAGGGGGCGACGGTTAGATTAATGCACAGAAATTGGAGTAGTTCTTTATGATCATTGTCCATTTTCACGCGCCTCTATGAAATTGTTTGGTGAAAAAACAGTAGCTGATTTATTTATTACGATATTTTTGAATTGGTTGCACACTGAAATGATACATCTAATCGATACGAAAGGAGATTTTTTTTTCAAAAAATTTTTTGTACAATATCATCTTCAGGTGCGTCCTTCCAGGACCTGAGGAGACATCTCTCGACTCATATACATTTGAACTCTTCTTCCTATTTTGATCTTAGATGTCGGGACATGATAACGGCATATTCGAGGTACAGGGTGGCTGGAATTCGAGCCTCATCATTGGGATCTCGTAAACCGTAAGAGATACAGAGTCGGTTAAAGCATGTCAAAGTTGCGCAATTTGATGCTCAACAAAATGCCGTTCTGAAACTTGAAAAATTCCGAATACTTTCGGAGATATACGAAAAAAATCGAAATTCCATAAAATCGTTTTTATTTTTTTCTTGCGTTATTAAAAGAAATTAATCGATATGAATAACACTTTATCATGGCCACTTTTTCTTCCCTACAACATGGCGTTTTCAAATTTGAAATCTGACGTTTCGTCTTCCAGAAACCATCATCAACTCACTTTTTTCAAATACGGACTTGGATTTTTCATTTCATGAATGTTTCAATGACTAAAATTCAAAGTTTCTCTATTTTTTCAAAATATTTAATCCGAAACTATTTTTGAAACATTATTATTCGAGTTATTATTCATCTGTGATATAACTAAGGGTAAAAAATATGTGAACTATGTAACTAAATTGTGATAAAAAAATTAAATTCTAAAGTAAATGCTCGAATAGTCCCCCTTGCACCTCTTGGCATTTTCGTATGCGTCTTCGCAAATTGCCAGTAAGTGCGCGCAGGAACATTCTTCCTGTACCTCGTAGGGTTGTTATTTCAAACATTGAAATTTGTCGTGAAAAATTTATGTCCCGTAGAATATCTTTGAATAAACGGGATTTCAAATATCCCCATGAAAAGTAATCCAGCGGAGATAAATCGGGGCTTCTTGCAGGCCAGCGCACCACTCCTTGGATTCCAATCCACTGATAGGGAAATGTTTCATTTAGATACTGAGTAACGGCCCTTCCATTGCCATTGTGGGGTGGTGCGCCATCCTGTTGCCACCATAGTTTCTGGAGTATATTCAACGGCTCGTCTTCAAGAGCATCTGAATTTTGGATGGAATGAAGGTACCGATCACTATTTAAATTCCCATTTCAAATAATTGGCCCCAAGATTCTGTTTCGATACAGCCCCACCCAGACATTGAATGATGCCCGTCCCTGCCTTCCCACTTGCTGATTTTGGTGCGGATTCTCCACTGCATAATAATGCTCTTTATTTCTGTTGAAAAGGCCGCTCGTAGAAAAATTGCATTCATTAGTCCAGATGATGTTATTCAAAAATCTTTATTATGTTGCAATTTTCTATCAAGCCAATTGCAGAATTCTAGCCTTCTTTCATTATCTCCTGGGCTAAGTTCTTGGCTGACATGTAATATATAAGGATGATACCTATGATTTTTGAGAATCTTCTGAATTCGGCTTCTAGGCATATTCAATTCTAGAGCAAATTGTCGTGTGGAACCTCGGGGATTTTCCGTAACCTTCAAAATTTCTCGATCAAATTTATCGCATATATAAATTATTTATTTTCGAAACTCACCGCATTTACAACAGCTCCTTCATCTTCAGCTCCAAATCTTCCGCCATAAGCATTTCGGGGCTTACTAAAACTACCATACAGATTCAAATTCTTGTCCAAATTATTGAAATACGTATAATGCAGTTGTGGTCGTTCGGGGTATTGCTGTAAATATCTCTCACATGAAATTTGCGAGTTTCTATTAGCACTATAATAAATTCGGACCATATCACGTTTTTCTGAATTGGAAAACACCATTTTTGATTGCGCAAATTATTCAAAACCTTGAACTGTCAAACTTTGACGAGTGGTTGTAACTTTTAATCTCTAAAAGCATAGCCGCCTTTTCTATTTTCGGTAATTGCATTGAATATTTGGAAAAAATGAAGAAACTGTGAATTTTAGTCATTGAAACATTTGAAAATCGGAATTTGTGATAGCTCATAGTTTTGGGCTATCCGAAGGTAACAAAAAATGAAATAAAAAATCCAGGTCCATATTGAAAAAAAGTAAGTTGATGATGGTTTCTGGAAGACGAAACGTCAGATTTTAGATTTGAAAACGCCATGTTGTAGGGAAGGAAAACTGCCCTTGATAAAGTGTTATTCATATCGATAAATTTCTTCAAATAACGCCAGAAAAAAATAAGAACGATTTTATGGAATTTCGATTTTATTCGAATATCTCCGAAAGTATTCGGAATTTTTCAAGTTTCAGAACGGCATTTTGTTAGGCATGAAATTGCGCAACTCTCCATAATTTAACCGACCCTGTATCTCTCACGGTTCACGAGATTCCAATGATGAGGCTCGAATTCCAGCCACCCTGTACAATGGTACGGCTATAGCGTCGTAATCGTTTGACATGACCCCCACATACCCATTTGTCCCATTTGTCCCATTTGTCTGATTTTTGAAATCAACTAGTACCCTGTAGATCATTCGTTCTGAGCACTCTGTATTTTCTGCTATAGCTAAAATAAGAATGAAAACGCATTTCGAATGATTTTTCAAATTTTGTAATCGGTTCAAAAATAACCGAGCCAGAGGGGGAAGACATTTATAGTGGATCACTCTGTACAATATTCAGACCTGATTCATGCGTTTGTGTTCTTGCCAATCTGATATGAAATGAGCAATTGAACATACTTGAACCATTGAACTATTGGTTGAGGATCACCCACAGCTAGGCATGTCAGTTCCAAATCTTTTCCTTCTTGCATCGCAGTAAGATGGGATTTTTCTCTGAAGAACGGTAATCTTCCTTCTTGTTTGGCTTCAAGGAATGCCTCTGCCTCCACATAAGTATCCAAACGAGAACCTGAAACAATGAATATGAATTTGGAAAATGCTAGGACTTGAAGATATTGAAGAACCAAATATTTTGGTTTGTAATAGCTCAACGAAGGATGAATTTAAAGTACCAGGTGGCCTAAAAGCTAGTCGTAGCTTCCTTCAAATTTTTAATTGTCTTGGCTGTCACTTGATGGAAATCCATAGCAAATGTGAAATCTTCACAAATGATAAGATTTCCACAAAATTCTTGTTAATTCACGATAACACAGTAGCTTCATCAGGTGAAATACTGGTACAATGAAATAAACTAACCTTGCCTTGCCTAACTTTTATACAGTGCGTCTATGAAGTAACGCATAAATGCGTTATTGGCTGAATGAACGAAACAATAAAAAATTATTAACTTGAAAAGGTTGATAGCGAATACATATTATTACCTACTAAGAAAACAAATTCAACAGTGGTGAACTATTGAGGTCCAGTTGGTCTTCAAGTAAAATGTCAGAATTTTGGAGTTCGTTGATCCTAATGATTCAAAATGATCGAGTTTCTTATTCCGTTATCTTGTACGTGTAGAATTTCGAAATAATCATCAAAGCTATGGTTTTCTTCTATTATAAAATCACATGAACTGAAAAATGTTGTGTGAAGTCCATTGACAGCAATATATTTGCAATATTCATTACATAACACTTTATTGAACTTCATTACTCACCTAGTTCGTGCCTGATTCTTCTGACGGCTGGATCACGATCTGCAGCACCATATCGGTTGATGCGAGCTTTCCTTTCATCGTCAATTTCCTCATCCATCACGTCAGTGAATCTGCGTCTCTCATGGATAATGGGAGTCTAAAACACACAATATCAGTAATTAGAATGGGTTGCCGGAAATATGATCGAAATAATTAGATCGAACTTCATTTGATCGAACATCATTTGATCGAAGGTCAATTGATCGAAGGTCAATGGATCGAAAAATCAATTGATCGAAATACCGATTGATCGAAATATCAATTGATCGAATATAATATTTGCTCATGATATTCAGCTATACCACAGTAAACTGTGACTTTACTTACCGATTCGTCTCAAACATTTTGAAGGAAGAAGGATTTTATTGTGAGCTGTGAAAAGTACAGGGTCTCTATAAATGATCGTAACATCGTAGTGGCTGTTGACATTTTTTTCCATTTGCCACTTTCTACTAATGCGGTTAACAACATTCAACGACCACAAAAAGAGGAAGTGATCATATACAGGATCTTTTTTTATATCGTTTTGCATACACTATGGAAATGTATCTCAAAGAAAGGAGAGTCCAATACAAATCAAAAATATTTATCAAAGAAGTAATAAATGATGGTTTATTTCATTAACCTACATCAAATGTTCAAAATGTTCTCCGTTGTTCTGCAAGCATTTCAAAACGTTTGTTGTCGAAAATGTTCCTCAGCATTTCCGGGCCAATATTTTGGCAGCAATGTGAGGCTTGCAGCTCTTCAAGGTTATTATTGTCTCTCTTGAATACTTCGTCTTTCAAATATCCAAAAAGGCAGAAATCCAACGTGTTGAAAAAGAAGGATCAACTCCTCGACTTATCACACGGTTGTCATAAAATTCTTGTAAATATTCTAAATTTGCACGTGTGGTGTGGGCAGTGGCCCCATCTTGTTCAAAAAAGCCAACTCGAATTTCTTCATCATCAAGTTGATTGATGAATGGTTCTAACATCACTTGTCTGTACCTTTCACCATTGATAGTGCCATCGAAGAAAATCGGTCCATATATTCGCCTACGAGAAACTGCTAACCACACCCCAATTTTTTGAGAATGTAGTGAAGTCTCAATGAAATTGTGGGGATTCTCAGATCTCAAAAACCTTAAATTTTGTGATATCACGTATCCCAACAAATGAAACCAAGCCTCATCGCTGAAAAATGTTAGGTCCAATAGCTGGTCATCGTTGAGATTATTTTGGAACCATTGGCAGTACTCCAGACGACGTGGGATATCTATTAGCAGAAGTTGCTGTAGTACACTGGTCTTGTAAGGGTGCATATGCAATCTTTTCTTGAGCACTTCATGGCATGTACTTAGTGGCACACCAGATTGTAAAGATAATCTCTTCAATGATGTTTGGGGATTTTAGTCAACACGCGCCCTTAGATTTTCGACAACTTCTTCCGATATATGGGGCCTTTCTGTTGATTTATTTTTATTAACGTTTCCAGTTGGAATGCATCTGTTGATCACTGTTCTGATGTGGGCTTTCAAAGGAGATTCTTGAATCTGTACATTAGGATTTTTCGACAGATACTCATCCTTGCAGGCTACTACCGAGTAACTCCATCCACCATCGATGAATGTGCCATTTCGACAATATGACATTACAATAAATGTATTCTGCTCCGAGGAATAACCATCCCTCTTTTCAACACGACAATCACGAAGTAGAAAACAGAATCGTTTCAATATTTTAACGAGAAACTGACAATTGTGAGTTTATCAGCTATGACAGTATGATGTCAGAAATTTAATTCGAATGTGTGAATCTCCATAAATGAAAGGCGGCAAATGGAGAACATATTTCAACGGCTACTACGATGTTACGATCATTTATAGAAACCCTGTATAATCTCAAGTATAACTATAGTGATCAACATAATATGTTAAAATTTATGTCACATTTATTTATTTATTTATTTCAGTTATTGCATTACATTCTTTTCTTCATTGATACATTTCATACAAATAATATATAAAGTATAATTAATTTTCTAGTAGGAATGACATGAATGATCAGACAGTAATTCCTGGTATAAGATCATTCATGAAGTATTATCGACTGTTGTATAATTGAAATTACAAATAGTGAACAAAACTTACATATCATTAAGATACAGTCATATTATAGTGAACGAGAAGGGGAAAAATAAAAAGAGTTAAAAAAAAAAAAAGAAAAAAGGAAATTCATGGTCTTTCAGCTTTGATCATTCCTTTGCATATAAATATATTTCTTAACTTTATTTTTGAATTGCATAATATTTGGGCTGTTTTTGATATCATCTGGTAATTTATTGAATTTCGAAATCGCCTCATGTGTAAACTTTTTTTGCCCAAGTTTAGAATTTGCAGCTTCAAGATGAAACAAGTTATATTGTCTAGTGTGATGATCATGAATTTCAGAATTCCTGATTAATATAAAATTTGATTTAAGCTTTTTGTTGATGATATAATAGGAAATTTTGAGAGTATTGATTGAAAAGTGCTCTTCCAAAGAAAATGTGTTTGTTTCCTTATACAGTTGATTCGTTGGAGTGTCATATGGAAGACGATACAATACTTTCAATGCCTTTTTATATAGAACAGAAATTTTGTTGGAACTATTTTTGGAACAAGATCCCCAAATATTTATGAGATAGTTAATTCGACTGAGTATATGTGAAAAGAGAATGATATTTGATGTATATGTACTAAGTTTAGGACATCTTCTCAAAGCACCAATAATGGGAGATACTTTTCCTATGAGGATGTCAATATGCTTTCCCCATGTTAATTTCTCATCAATCCAAATACCAAGGTATTTGGTATGGGCAGTTTGTTTCAAACGTTCATTTTTTATTCTGATATTCAGATCAATATTTTGTTTATTTCTTTGACGAAAAATCATATATTGAGTCTTATTAGAATTGAGAGAAAGAAGATTGGAATAAAGCCATTTCTCAATTTTTTTCAAGTCCTCATTTATGATATGTTCTAGAACTACTGGGTTTTTATTCTCATATAGAAGCACTGTATCGTCTGCATATATGGTATAGTTTCCTATCAAATTCATTCTTTCAATATTTTGAATGTATAATAGATAAAGAATCGGACCCGACACTGATCCTTGAGGAACCCCTTTGTTTAAATATAGTATTTTAGACTCACAGTTATTAATTTTAGTTATAATCGTTCTATTTTCAAGATATGATTTCAAGAGATCGTGTCCAATACCTCTGATTCCCATTGAAGCAAGGTTTTTCAGAAGTATATTGTGGTCAACTGTATCAAAAGCCGTTTTTAGATCCATGAAAATCGCTACTACATAATTTCCTTCGTCAAGTCTGTCCTGAATGAAATTGATTACTTGTAGCACAGCAGATTGTGTACCACTGTTTTCTTGAAATCCGAATTGGTTCAAATCGAATCCATATTTTTTATTGATAAAATCTACAATCCTTTTTTTGAGAATTTTCTCTAGAATTCGGAGAAAATACTTGGTAATGCTATTGGCCTATGATATACTGGATTTTTAGCATCGCCACTTTTATATATAGCCCGTAAAGAGGTATTTTTCAATTCATCTGGAAAAATACCTGTTGTGAAAGATATATTGATTAATTTTGTTAGTGGTTTGGCCAAAATATTTTTCAATTCTATTATATCTCGTGTAATCAAACCTTCTGGATCAGGACATTTTTTTTTAAGAGTGCTAATTGTATTTATTATTTCATATTCATCAGTGGGAATCAGAAGTATTGTTGAATCATTGTAACGTGGTGCAATATTGTCAGTAGTCATATAATTGTAGAATTGTTTCAATTCATTAGCAGTATTTTCACCAATACTTGAAAAGTGTGAGTTCATTGCCTCAGTTATTTCTAGATTGCTATTGATAATTTGGCCATTAATTTTTAAAGATTCAATATCTGCCTTCTCGGAAATTTTCGATTTATTTCTCAAACAGTAATTGATTGTATCCCACATTTTCTTTGGATTACCTTGAGATTCTTCAAATTTTCTATTGATATATTCAATTTTAGCTCTCTTTACCATGGCATTAACTTTATTCCTTTGAATTTTATAATCAGTAAGAAATTCTACATTATGATTGTTTCGTTTGAATATTTCAAATTTTTTATTCCTAATTTCAATTTCACGAATTATCGCATTAGTGATCCAGTCATTGTTTTCACGAATCCTCATGTTTGTTTTGATAGAAGATAGTTCTTTAGCTTCCAAAATTAAATTCATTAAATCTTGAAATTCTCTGCACTGACTTTTATTTAGATTTTCAGATAATATTCTTCTGAATTTAGGATAATCAATTTTAATTATTTCTCGTTTTTTATAATTTTTCAATACAATATCTGTTTTTTTAATGGATGTATATATTATTCTATGATCACTTATTGAGGTATCTTCTAATTCTATGTTGAAATTCAGGTGGTAGCAGTTAGTAAGAATATGATCAAGAATGCTGAAACAATTGTTTTGTTTCCTGGTATAATACATTGCATCAATTTTGTTCATGATATGGAAACCATTGCTATTAATTATGTTTCTATAATTAGTAGTATCATTACTGTCTGCTAAGAGATTGATATTCATATCTCCCATTATAACAATTTTTTCATGAATCTCCATGGTTTTATCAATATATTCAAAAAAATCACTAATTTTTGAATTCGGTGGTCGGTAGAGGGCAATTATTTTCAATTTGGAATTAAATTGGGAAATATCAATTTCAATGGTATTGTATTCTCTATTTATATTGCTTTCAATTTTTTGATATATCAGGTCATTCTTTAAATAAATTGCCACCCCACCATCTGAAGGCAAGCCCAAGAAGCAGAAGTTTTTTCGAAAATATTTCAGAAACCCTTTGAGATGAGAAATTGAAATTTTGTACTTCTACCTAACTTTTCATAGCCAATATCAATATGCTGAGGAAATTTCGAAATTCATTTCGATCAGGATCGTGAAAAATAGGAGGGGCTGGGGGGCACTTATTCCCCTAACTTTCTAGCTATGTAGGTTAACCAGAA